GCACGTATGTAAGGTTGGCTAGGTTCAGATGGGATGCAGCCTAGAGTTCTATAGAAGACTTCTAAGATGCCGATGCACAATTGGGTAGTTCTCTTCGGTTTGTTTGCTCCTTTGTACTAATTGCTTATGTAATCCTTGTTAATCAATGACTATTTATACTTGATTATCTATTAATATTATAGATGAAATCATCTATTTATAACGTTATAGATTTAATTTCACTTTGTTATACCGATACGCAAAAATTTATTGAAATTTCTATATAATTTTTCTCCATTATAATGAGTCTCTTGAATTTTTATTTTTTAAAAAATGGTTTTTTTGTAGATAGTTTTCCAAGAATGAGTTTAACAATAGACTATCTCAACAACCATATTTTTTTTTTCTTGTTTATTGGTCTAGATGAATTATGCTGACTAGCAGCATTTGTCAAATTTATAATATATCTGGTTGGTCAACCGGGCTGTGGCCCAATTGGTTGGCCCCCAATCTTTAGGGCTTGGGTGAGGCGGAGGTCAGGGCTTCGAGCTCTGCCACCGCCGTGAACTCCATCAACTTGCAACCTAATGGTCGCGCGCCTCAAATAAGGGGTGGAACGTTCACTTTTCTAGAAAAATTCCAGCTGCTAACAAACTAACTCTACTAACTTCCTAACCATCTATCTGGTAAAAAATATATATATATATATATATATCTGGTTGAGTTGTAATATTCATGTATCATTTAGATTGCTTAATAAATTTGTATTACATTTAGTGTGCTATACTATTGAGTTTTGTAGTGTCTCCATCGTGCCATATCCTTTGGGTTAGTCACTAACCCTTACCTTTTCTTATTGAAGGATGCAGAGTCGAGTTCTACTAAAAATATCCATACAAAATTCCTTAAAATAGGCGATCCATACAAATATAACCCATCATTTTCATTTGGTCCCAAACAAAGACAGATGAGAGGAAAGACACAAAATCAACTTCTACAATTTCATTTTGATTCACTTTCCCACAACAAACTTCAATCTAACTGCTTCATCTTCGGAAACTTGAGTTCCCAACCCCAAATGATTCATCAATAACCAAACGAAAGTCAGAAGTTCTCCCCCGTTACTTGGTTGCTGCGCATGGACATATGCCCTACAATTAATTGCTGCATAGGACATGAGTTCCACCCAAACTTTGCTCATAAGTTCCCATCGATTACCATTCAACTTCTTGATTTCGCCAGTGAGGATTCGTGCATCAAACAATACTGATTTGCTCTCTCCACCTCTTAAAGCCCTAGGCCTGATTTCTGCTTCCGCTTCATGGATCTCTTTGCAGGCCTCCTCTGTAGTTGAAACGGAATGTTCAGACAAGAATCTCTTGGTCTCTGCACACGTGTCTTGGAATACCAACTTCCAATCACCGGACACAGGGGCCATCATTGTTGGCTGCATCATCAGAAGGTAAAACATATAATCCGAAAGTAACTTGCATATTGCCTTATAATCAATATTCTCAGATGAAGGTCCGTCCTCAGCTTTGTTTTCGTCACATATCTCTAACTTAGCTTTGTCTTCGTAACATAACTCTGTCGCAATGTGCCACAGTAGAAGGCTTTCCGTGTAATTAAAATCCTGAATGCTCCATTTCAGATGTTCATTTTCACGTTCGCTGAGAATTCCATCTCCTCTCTGTAAACAAATCTTCTTACCCTGTTCTACAGTTGTTGCAGTCCGAGACTTTTTCCACAGTTCTTTGAAAATGAAGTGCCATTCTTGATTTTTTCTGAATTTCTTGGAGAACCGATGTCGCATTCCATTAATGGCTTCCAAGATGCTCCTCAAGTGCAGAGCTTCGGCCAATTTGTTTATCCATTCTGGATAATCATTTAGGCAATAAGTAAAAAAATTGTACTGGGACACAGATTTAGACCACCTGCGCCTATTGATAACTCTAGATGCAATATTTGCGGCCCCCTTATCCCAATACTGGCCACGAACAGTCCAGTCAGATAAAATGACAAAGATGAGAGAAATGAAGTCCAATACCATGGCACCAATCAGTAGGCTGTAGCTTAGCCTGATGTCAAACATTCGGAACGAATGCTTCTTAACAAAGAAGAATGAGAAGAAGGCACCCAAGATGCAACCAAAACTAACACTGCGGAAAATGTACCCAGTTTTACATCGTACCACCTGCACCTTGGTATGAAGAACCTCATACAAAATGCTGAGCTCAATCTCTATGATTTGGAACACGGAATTTGGATTTCGGTTGAGAAAAAATTCTCGGCTCACATGGCGTTCTTGTGGACTAAGAAGAAGTCCTGCAATTAACCCCTTGAAAGTATCAAAGAACTCAAATGCAAATCGTAATATTGACCTTGAATCATCTTCTCTGTTTTGCTCTTCTAGGTACTCCATGCTTTCAAAAATCTCTGGTCTTTTTATTATTAGTGTTCGTGCTGGAAGGTTAGCTTGTTGAATTGAAGAGTATATCATCTGAATCCTTTGATATTCAGGGCCGGGGTTTGGCTTTCTACATGCAGATTCTCCAAAATGATTCAAGCTTGCAAGATACAAAGCACGAGTCCGCTCTGCATATTTGATTATTCCTGCAATAAACACGAACCCAGAAGGAAGCCACAGAATGTTCTTTGGGAGTGATTGAAGGAAGACATAGACGGTAGAAAGAACCTGCAATGCAAGCCCGAGCATGTGCCTCACCCACAACTCGTTATCCTCTAGGGCGAAAGAGGTAATCGTGTCGGGGCCACCAAGATGCAGCAAAAGAAATGGTGCCCAAAAAGCCAAGATGTCATTGCTTTCGCGGAGAGTCGACGTGTTAGCCTGACTGCTGAGGGTGAGTCCGAGGCCGCTAGAGATGAGCCCGATGGCAACCGTAGCAACCCAGTCCGCAAGCAGATAAGCTGACCAGATTAACATGACAATTTTCCATCCACCTCTTCGTTTTCTTGATGATGCAAACATAATTAAGAAGGCTTGCAGTGAGAGACTGATAATAATGAGTCCTCGAAGATTCCATCTCTCCCATAGCTTCCTGACACTGTCTGAAATGGAGAGAAGCATTTTTTTGGACTCTTTTCTTCTCTGCAAATTTTCACTTCTTGCAGAACTTAATTTTCTGTAAAGTAAAACCAACGGAAAAAATATCAAATCAGCCCCTACACTTAGGAATCTGTGGCATATCAGCCCCCCAACTCATTTTAGTGGCAAACAAATCCCAAACTCATCAACTACAACGAGCGGCCAATCACCTTTTTTTTTTTTTTTTTTTAACATAGGACATCCATTCGATTCAAAAAGAAATACATCAAGATTTAGTTCCAAGTCTTTCTAATTTCTCAAGTAACCGAAAACTAAAATATACTTGATCACGTTTCAATTTCACATTCTTTATCCATGAACATAAAAACCCAAGATTCAAAAACTATAGTTTCTGCAAAATTTTCAGTACTTTTCGAGCAACCCAACAACCGACCAACCAAGTAATATCAGATGAATTAAAAATAGATCTATTTACACTGCATAAAACCAATGAAAACAAACACACGAATCAATAACACAAAAAGAAGTAAAACGAATGAGAACCACATTTTCAAATTTGAACTCACTTCCAATTGATTCCACACAATCCTAGGCCACTTCTTTGTTGGTGGGAGGCCTATGCCCCAAAATCTCCATGAAAATCCTCTTCAACCTCCTTATTAGACTTCACCAGTGAGAATTTCGCCCTCTCTCTCTATCACCATCATCGGGTTCCTCTTTCTCCCATGCACAGTGACTTCATCATCTCATTCCTCAAAGGAGAAAAACTGGTACCATTATTCAATTTCCTCTCCTCAATTCTCAAGTTCACCCAAGAAGAAGAAAATGCATTTCCCTGCTCGTGGAAGAGGACAAGAGCCCGGAGATATGATTTATGGCAAAGCTGGAAAATTCCAGATCTGGGTTTGCTAACAGTGCTATAGTGTCGGGCTATGAAGTCATAGCTGCTCAACGACCATAGTTGGCCATCACTGGACTTGGCTTTGGTAGTATCCTGCGCTTGGTGACGACCAAGCGGAGGAGGTTTTTGTTGGGTTGGATTGGTGTTCGACGAGCTAGAGTCGATGGGAAAACTGATATGGTTCTAAAAGATAGACGCAGGAGGGGGCTAACGAAAAGAAAAATGGAAAAGACGTAGACTACTTAAAAGTAAGTCAATGATACAATTTCCTATTTTCTTTATTTTTTTTTCCTTTTTAACAGTGACAATGTGCCGATGAGAAGATTAAGATACAAGAAAAAATAATGTTAAAAAAAAAGATACAAGAAAAAATAAAGAAAATTAAAAAATTCCGAGACTTTGTTCAAATAAATATATATTTTTTAAAACTTTACTATATTAATTAAGTATATAAACTTTTTCTTTTAATTAAGACTACTATTTAAAAAAATTATTTAATGATAAGATTTTTACTATTTAATAAAAAAAATTAAGTGGATGTACATGGAGTCTTTTTGTAAATTTTACTTTATCTTTGTTTGGATTGGTGGATTTGGAGGGGGAGTTGGAGAGAGAGGGAGTAGGTATCCCTCTTACTTTGTTTATTTTTCTTTATTAATAAAGAAGGAGAGAGATGGGTGATGATAAAATAATTTTCACTCTTCTCTTTTCCATCTTTTTAAATTAAAGGGATCGGGAGGAACTTGATTTATATATTTAATATTTTAGAAAATAAATATATAAAAATATTTTATTTTAATTAATAAATTTTAAATACTTTATTTTATTTAAATTATTTAATTAAATAAAAATATTTTCCTTTCATTTTTTTTCACTCCTCTATTTTTGTTTATTTAAATAAAATTAATACATATTCTTTTATTTTCTTCTCTTCTCCTCCCTTTTCTTTTCTTTACTAATTTTTATCTAAACAAACTATTAGTGTATGATTGGATAAAATTTAGTAAAGAAAACAAAAGGAAAGATAAGCTTAAGATATGATTCGTAGTATTAATGTTATTTGTGGAGGAATTTTTTTATATATAAAGTTTATAAGTTATATTTATATAAAATTTTAATTATTTAT